CTTTAGACAGATAGTTGGTAGAAAACACAAAAGCTATGATACATGTAAGAGCTCACCTGTGCGAAAACTAGCATACAAAACATGATTGCTGGTCCCAACATAGAGAAGAAAATCACTATGAACTGGTAAGCAATGTATGACATTGATATAGAGTCATTGTTCTCGGATGCACGCTGAAAAGACGATTCAAAGGAATAGACGAAGAGATACCTGTACTCAAATAGTAACTTTATAATCCGCCAGTAAATCAATCGTATTTGCTATCGATGAAGGCGTCCATCGACGACGTTGATTGAAGAATTCTTCAAAACCTTCTGGAGCATAGGTTTCGGCATCTGACGCGGCAACGTACTCGATGCGGTAACCCTACATTCAAAACACTATAGAGATTATGGAGTAAACATATCTTCTCACCTGCTTGAGCATAAGTGTACTGAGCCATCTGTCCTCTCCTTGATCGTACTGCACGAAATGGCGCGGCTCTTGAGCAGTCTTTGTATACCTAAATCCCATAGCAATTACCCTACTGCAGAAAAAAATGGTTACTTTTTACAAAGAGAAACCTGAGCATGACAACCTTTGACCTCATGATGGGCACAGTTAGGCTGTCACAAAAATTTTCAAGATATAAGAATTATGCAAACTCAAATGACGCAGATCATGCGCACTTAAGGGTACAGACTTGCTACATAGAGAAAGACTAAGTCATTTATGCATTAATAGTGGCAAGAACCGCAAACAAGAACTTCATTTTTCCGAGCGATATTCAGCAATGAGTGGGCTTGTGACGAAAGAAACACTTACTGGGTGAAACAGGAGCGAGGACGTAGTGATTGATATGTGCTAGCTGAAGTGAAGAGAAAACAATTTGAGTGTCTACTCACTTGTGCATTATATTGTCATCCATCAAAGCAGATGCTCTAAACAAAGAGAAACATCCAGGAGCACACAACACACAACCAAAAACATGCTCAGCAGCCTTCTGGAACCAATGTGCAATGGCGTACTCAAATTTCTGGTACCATACCATAACTCCTGCAAAAAAATGAAGTTTCCCCCAAAAATGCTAAAGATTTAGCTGTACCCGATCCAATGGGATGGATTCGTCCACAGGCGCATCCTATATCACTCTTTGTATTCATTAGATTCAGAAGACGTACAACTGCCTACAACAACATCATAAGATCTACGATTTTGAACACGGTTCACAGAGCTGTGCCTTTAAAATTACGATGATGCGTTATACGATAAAATGTAGCAAAAAGTGTTGAACGTAATGAACATGCAATTCAGATTATTTCCTTGAGAATTGCATATGTTTATTTGATCAAGAGAACCCTCACTTCTGGCTCAAACTTCGAATCACCATCAATAGCTAGAATAAATGTATTG